CCCGCGCACTCCGCGGTCGCCGCCGCCCCCTGCCGGCCGCGGGAGGCGACGCGGTGCGCGCGGGACGGGGCCTGCGCTCGGAGGTGAGCTGCCTGAGGCGCGTCCAGGCGTCTACTGTCCCTCTTCAGACTTCATTCCTTTTATTATTTTAAACGCTGGCGTCGCCCTGCCGCGGGAGCTCGAGTGTCTGGCGGACGTCGGCCCGCTCCTGGCATTGCGGCCTGGGGGCGCGGAGGCGCTGAGCGGTCCGTAGGGGCGCGCCCGGGGACGTGACCTCCGGGCGCTGCAGCGACGCCGGGACATCGACGCGCGGCCCCGGGTGCTGCCGCTCGCGCCCTCTCGGGGGCTTCTCGCCCGGAAGGGGAGGAAGGCGCAGGGCCGGCTGGAGCCCCGCGAGGGCGAGGTGGCGGTGGCGGTGGCTGTGACCCCAGGGAGCAGCCTGTGACCCCGGGGGAGCAGCCTTGGGACCCAGCAGGTTCCTGGGGGGCAGTGGGGGCGGGGTCAGCCAAATCCTGATCCCTCCTGCACAGATGAAGAGAATAAAACATTGCTCTAGGCAGGGCAGGCCGCGTGCCCGTAAGCGCAGGACACATGTTGGCTTTTGCTATTGTTTGGGAAAGCCGAATGGCTGGCTTCTTTCATAAAGAGAATAAAGGTCCTAACGTTGCCATCGCTGCAGGGCCGTGCACCAGGGACAGCTCGGCCTTCTTGTTGTAGCTGCTCTGAGGTCAGAAACCATCGCTTCCCAAACCATCGCTGACACCGTATTATTTTTCAGGTAACTAGATTTTAAAAATCACTTCCTGAAATATTAAACAACTTCAGCATTCTCTGGTTGCCTTGTTTCAGGTCTTCTTTTCCTCCAGTGTGTAATTTGCCCAAGGTTTTGCTTCTCGATATTCCCTCTTATTAAGCCTAGCCTAATTATTCCTTTGAAGGCAGCTCTAATTGGCGTTCAGCATTCATATGTCATTAATTTCAGCCTGTCCCTGGACCCTTTTCAAGCAAATCTGGGAAACAAGCCAGAAAAAAATGCAGCATTAATGTAAGAGCGGTGGTGTCATAAACAGCCTGCACAAATCCACCACCCTGCACACCAGAATTGCTCCCACAGTGGGTACCCTGAAGCAACACAAGACCTTAATTCAGTTCAGTAGGCCAATTCCGAATTACAACGTTCTCTCCTAAAAACTGACCCTGACCATTTTATAGTAAGCAAGAGGGATCATTGAATTTCAGTGTTAATATTTTATGTGGGTAAACACAAGAAGTCTCCAGTCACTAAATGTCTTGAATACAATTTATTTTTATTAATTCATGCGAGGTTAACCAAGAATAAAACAAACATGTAGTTTCACCTACTGGTAATTAATTTTAGATGGAAGAGTTAGTTGTAATAACACAGGTGCATTTCTGCCTCAGATTTGGCTTTTGCTGTTTTTTCTGTCTGAACCTTCTTCAAATGTACCATGTTGTCCCCGCACTTCTTCAGAAGCATCCGGCTTTCCCATGCCTCCATCCATCTCAGAGAATGAAGGCAAAAGGATCCTGGATACTTGGGTCCCTGGGTCACATTTTAACCTCAGTCCCATTTTGTGAGAAAAAAAAATCCTGCATTGGGCGGAGCCCTTGAAATTGCAGGGTTTGTTGCGAAGAGGACTGGCATTCGTTACCCTAACACAGCCTCCCTACCTCCATCCTGGCCGCCATCGCCTAGTTCATTTTTCTTTGTAGCACTTACTACCTAACAGAAACACCTCTGAACATTAATTATCTTGTCCTGTTAGAATTCAGGGCTCTGAAGATAGGGCAGTAAACAAAAGGGACATGCTAGGTAGGCACCCAGTAAATATTTGTTCAGTGAATAAATGAGGAAATGCCCACTAACTCCCTCCGTGGATGAGGTCAGCTCTCAGAAGTGGCTCTTACTGTGTCTGGGTTGCTTGGACTGGGTCCTTTGGCTGCCACCTGTAACAGTGTTTCTGAGGGTAAACTAACAACTCTCTCTCTCTCTCTCTCTCTCTCTCTCTCTCTCTCTCTCTCTCTCTCTCTCTCTCTTTCTCTCTCTCCTCCTCCTCTCTCTCTCTCTCTTTTTGGTGGAACTGGGGATTGAACTCAGGCCCTTGTGCTTGCCAGGCGAGCGCTTATTCTACTGAGCCATCTTCCCAGCCCAATAACACCTCTCTTTAGAGCTAAGTCAATCACCCGGAACACCACTGCAGGTTTTCTAAGATTGCTAGAAATGTCACCATTGCTGAGTTGGTCTTTATTTTTAAAATAACTGTTATTTGCTACTTGAAAACCATTCACAGAATGCATCAAGCATGGTATGAATGCGTACTTATGATTTTAAACACAATTCCACCCTATTTGTGTCATATCCTGCTGTGTTTCCACAGCAGCTTTCCCATGCGCAGAGAAGACATTGTCATTTCTGTTATCCAAGAGAGAACACCCACCTCCAGAGGGGCTGTCTGCTGAGGTCGCTGGTGAGTGGCCCAGGAGCTCCTTGGCTACCCTGGAACTTCAACCCACTGAGTCATAGGTCTGCACCTGCAGGTCCTCCAAATAACTCATTATTAAAGAGCGCTGCCCACTTTGTAGAAACTTAATAGTGAAAGTTTAATGGGAGGATTGGGTTTAAGGGCAGCGCTGTGGCTGAAATAAAGGCCCTATGCCCTGGGACTGACTTGGGTAAGCCTGGGCTTTGGGCTCCATCGAGGCAGGAGTTTCTGCCTGCTTTGTTCACTGCTGTGTATACTCAGCATTCTAAATGAAATATTTATTAAATAAGCAAATGATACATGAAGCTTTCCTTTGTCTACAAAAATGGGAATAATAACCCACCTCATGGGGTCATGTTGGGATTTAATGACGTGGTGCATTCCCATGGTATTTTATAGTGCTCAAGCGAAAAGTAATTTTAATATAGTGCAGTTCTTAGTTGAAATTATATTTCTAAATTCTGTGATTCATTCTGAAGGTGAATTTTTGAGGTATTGTGGATGAATTCTCATTTTTGGATTCTGTAATTTTACCTTCCTCTGCAATAGTATTTACAGTTGAGAATGTACAAGTACCTACAAGATTATCCAGCAATATTGAACAGATCCCTCATTTTCCCTTGAGCTCCTTCATCCACACTTCTCATTTCTGCTTCAAAATCAAAACCAGGACCTGATGTGTATTTATTACCTGACAGCTCCCTTTAGAAATGATCCTCTCTCCTCAAAATATGCTTTTAGTAACTTAACTCAGCTGTTGACTAATGACCCTGTTCTTGTAGATACATTTCCTTATTTGTGCTTGAGACGCTCCCATCTTGGGGCCGGGGAGATAGCTCGGTGGTCTAAGCGCCTGCCTGGCAAGTCCAAGGACCCAGGTCCTATCCCCAGTACCCCATGCTGTGCTGGCCCTGCACCAAGACGGCCATGGAAACCAGGCATGGTGGTGCATGCCTGTAATCCCAGCGCTTTTAGGCTGAGACAGGAAGATCTCTGAGTCTGAGCTGTAGATCAGCAAGACCCTGTACCAAATAAACAAATAAAAAATCATTAAAAACAACTCTCATCTTGAATTGTGGCTTCTATATTTCTTCCCCTGGTCAGTATATCTACACTTTCATGGTTTATAAGTCAACATTCCCCAATGCTTTGTACCAGAAGTCACAAATTGTCAAACCAAGGCCTGAATCTGGCCTAATGCTTGCTTTGATCAGCATTTAAAATACACATGTTCCCTTAGAATGAATTAACTTACAATTTCTCAGTGGTCCAAGATTCACGTACATTCAATCAGAACCATACTTTGCATTGTGAATTTTATCTTTTCGAATGTGTGGCATGATGCTCTTTTGTGATACTGGGTAGCAGGGAGCTGCTACTCCTCAGCCATGGGATCAGGAGGGAAAAAAAGTATCCTGCACGCAGGAGATGGGCTGCACTGTGCTGTTCCAGAAGGCGTATTAAATGTATCTTCAACTTACATTTCTCATGCATGAAGAGTTGATCAGCTGAAACCCACTGTAAGTTGAGCAACCACTGATTAAGAATTTCTCACTGAAAACTAAGATTTGTGACTTCTCGGAGTAGAAAAAGTACCTGATGTCATGCTGAGCCAGCATTTCTGCATAGCAACAGTTACCTTTTCCTTTTGTCCGTCGTGTCCCTTCTGTTCTTCAGCACCATGCCCAACGCTACCTTCTGTAAGCACTCAATAATTTGCCCTTCTTGGGTCTTC